AAAGTTGTTGAAGTCCTTTCATATTTGTGGATGTGCCCTGATGACCATGACACTGCCTCTACACTGGAAGACTTTTAGATTTGCTTCAACTTACACGTCTAAGTCGTGCTGTGCCTGAACTGATGCCTCAGGCAATGTTTTAAGGGGGAAAAAAAAGGCTCATACAGAAACTAAGGGAGAAAGCCACTTGGTTTTCCAGTTAAGCCTCATGGTTAATGGGACTTGTTTTAACTGGTTATTCCAGGACCCTGAAATGATGTAACTGAAATCAATAGGTTTGCTGCTATATGGGGTCCTGACGATAATTTTGCTGTAGACATGCTGGCTAAAAATCAAGAGTTAACATAGCAGACCTGAGACTACATGTGTTATGTGGGCCAGCAGGAGGACATGGAAGTTAAGGCACTAGATCCCACATGCAGGCGTGTGTGTGTGTGTGTGTGTGTGTGTGTGTGTGTGCGCATGCCCAAAATCCTGAGACAAAAATGGAGAAGAGACTATGGTGTGGCAATCCCCCTGGGGGTATTTCTTTTTTTTTTTCTTTTTTTGCTATAGGGCATGTGCGCTCGCCAGACAGAGAGAGAGAGACAGAGAGGCAGAAAGCGAGAAATCACCCCCCAGGGGGGATGGCCACACCGCAATCCCTTCTCCATTCTCCTCTCGGGATCTTGGGCATGCACGCACACGCGCCTAGCGTGAGTTTTAAGCCACCGGTTCTGGGACGCGAACCGCAGTCGACTATGTGGGAGCCCAGCAACATAGCCATTACACTAACTGGTGGTCCCTGCCCTGGGGGTGTTTCTCACTGTCCCTCTCTATCTCTGTCTCTCTCTGGCAAGGACATGTGCCCTATAGCAAAAACGAAAAGAGAAAGGAAGGAAAGGGAAGGGAAAGAAATAGAAGTGAAACCCGCTCGTTAAGATTAGCCTTTGGCTCGTATCAGAAAACCTTAATGAACGGTTTTCTAAATGTATAAAAAATTTCCATGAAGTGATCAGAGTGGCTCACTGTATCTAAACTATTTATACAAACAATATGGTTTACACTAAACATCTGTTCTCTTTAAGGAAGTCTGAAATTTTGGCACATGCCCAACAGAGACTGCCTACATGACCACCTCTACAGAAACTGTATGCACTGAGTCTCTAACAAGCTTCCCTGGTAGGTGATATATCACACACGCTGTTAATCTTGCTGTTGGAGAATCTGTGGCCTGTGTAATTCCCCTGAAAACTCTTGGAAGTGTGTGCTTATTCTTCCCTAGACTTCATTCCATGTACCTTCTCCCTTTGAAAATTTTGTACTGTATCCTTTCACTATAATAAATCGCAGCTGTAAATATGACCTTATGTTCATTCCTAAGAGCCCCCTAGCAAATCACCGAACCAGGGGAGATGCTGGGAACCTTCAACACAACTAGTAACAATTCTGAACAGGTAAACAGCCCAATCTAGAGTTGAATATTCCATCTGGATATAGAAAAACATAACCAAAATTTCCTTTACGTTAGCCATCAATTAGAAGTAATTGATTACTTACGAAAACAGATCAAACCACTGCTGTTTTGTAACAGATTCCTGACGTAAAAGCTTCAAAACAATTGGACGCATGAAATCCCATTTGTCTTCAAACTGAAGGGAACCTTTATTCTTAGAAAAAAAGAAAAAAAGAGCACTTTAATTTAATGCAATTAAAAGTATTCTATAATTTTATCTATAATTTTAAGAGATAGCTAGACAAATGCACAGCTCAAATTTAAAAGAACTAGTTTTCCATAGTGGAATCATTATAGGCTGAATCGGGTATCAAGAAGTCACAGGAGGGACCAGCAGTTAGCGTAATGGCTATGTTGCTGGACTCCCACGTAGTTGACCGCGGTTCAAGTCCTGGACCTGGCGGCTTAAACTCACGCCGGGTACATGTGCGTGCGTGCCCAAGATCCTGAGAGGAGAAGGGATTGCAGCATGGCCATCCCCCCTGGGGGGTGATTTCTCAGTTTCTGTCTCTCTGTCTCTCTCTGTCTCTCTGGCGAGAGCATGCGCCCTCTAGCAAAAACTTCTCAAAATAAATAAATAAATAAATAAGTCAGGAGGGGCTACCAAGTAGCATGGTGGCTGAGTTGTTGGACTCCCATACGGCCAACCGTGGTTCAAGTCCCAGACCCAGCAGCCCGAAAATCGCAACAAATAGAGATAAATAAATAAATACTTTTTTAAAAAAAGAAGTCCCAGAAAATCAACCATAAAAGAGAAAAAGAAAAAGTATGTGGTTAAAAAGTGTGTAGTAAGAAATCTGGCCTTGCCTAAAGAGGTCAACTTTCTTCTTGGTTTCTGATAAATAATCACTGGGCACTTGGAATGTTACATCTAATAAGTGTGTCTTTGTTTGTCAGGGGTAATAATGTAGTCTACGGAGGGAAGTATTAATACTTCTGCCTGTATGGTCTTACGAAGAGGGTTGGCTAATTCAGAAAGACCAACAGTGTGACTAAGGCTGGAGGCTTTGGGTCATGCATCTCAGTCAACCTGAGGACTGAATTTATCCATCTGTCCAAATCAATCAGCAATGCCTATGTGAAGAAGCTCTATAAAAACTCAGGACAGTAAAGGCTGGAGACCGCGGTTCAAGTCCTGGACCTGGCGGCTTAAACTCACGCCGGGTACATGTGCGTGCGTGCCCAAGATCCTGAGAGGAGAAGGGATTGCAGCATGGCCATCCCCCCTGGGGGGTGATTTCTCAGTTTCTGTCTCTCTGTCTCTCTCTGTCTCTCTGGCGAGAGCATGCGCCCTCTAGCAAAAACTTCTCAAAATAAATAAATAAATAAATAAGTCAGGAGGGGCTACCAAGTAGCATGGTGGCTGAGTTGTTGGACTCCCATACGGCCAACCGTGGTTCAAGTCCCAGACCCAGCAGCCCGAAAATCGCAACAAATAGAGATAAATAAATAAATACTTTTTTAAAAAAAGAAGTCCCAGAAAATCAACCATAAAAGAGAAAAAGAAAAAGTATGTGGTTAAAAAGTGTGTAGTAAGAAATCTGGCCTTGCCTAAAGAGGTCAACTTTCTTCTTGGTTTCTGATAAATAATCACTGGGCACTTGGAATGTTACATCTAATAAGTGTGTCTTTGTTTGTCAGGGGTAATAATGTAGTCTACGGAGGGAAGTATTAATACTTCTGCCTGTATGGTCTTACGAAGAGGGTTGGCTAATTCAGAAAGACCAACAGTGTGACTAAGGCTGGAGGCTTTGGGTCATGCATCTCAGTCAACCTGAGGACTGAATTTATCCATCTGTCCAAATCAATCAGCAATGCCTATGTGAAGAAGCTCTATAAAAACTCAGGACAGTAAAGGCTGGATGAGGTTTCCTGTGTGGCCCAAGGAAGAGAAGAAAGAGAAATGTATCTTAACAACAGGAATGCAGAGAAATGCAGGAACGAAAAATGCATCCTGACTACAAAGAGAGAGGACAACAGCAGCTCTGGAACCTTCCTGAATTCTGCCCTATGCACCTGTTCCTTTGGCTGATCTTAACCTGAATCCTTTCTCTGCAACAAATCATAACCATGAGTACAACAGTTTTCAGTAAGTTCTACAAGTCTTTCTAATAAATTGTCAAATCTGAGGGTAATTTGGGGGACTTCCAAAGTTATAAATAGTGTCAGAAGTGAGGGTGGTCCTACATGGACACTATACTTCCTAAATCTGTAATTGTCCTAAACGCCTATAAAAATCATATTGGATATCTATATAAACTCTGAAAACTAAAAGAAAAAAAAGGTGAAAAGATATCCTCCTCATTTCATAATACTAAAAAACCCTGAATACCAAATGGTTGAGAACAGCACAAGAAATGGAAACTTCAGGCCAATTTTACTAGAGAACATAGAAGCAAAAATCTAAATTAATATTAGCAAATCAAAGAAGTGACATATTGAGGGGACCAGCAGTTAGCGTAATGGCTATGTCGCTGGACTCCCATGCAGTCGACCACAGTTCGCGTTCGGGACCCGGTGGCTTAAAACTCACGTCGGGCACGTGTGTGTACATGCCCAAGATCCCGATAGGAGAATGGAGGAGAAGGGATTGTGGTGTGGCCATCCTCCTTGGGGGGTGATTTCTCGCTTTCTGTCTCTATGTCTCTCTCTGTCTGTCTGGCGAGCGCACATGCCCTATAGCAAATAAAAAAAAAAAAAAAAAAAAGAAAGAAAAGAAAGAAAGAAGAAGTGACATATTAATGCCTCAGTCATATACAGTTTTATCCCAGAAGTGTGAAAGTGGTTCAACATTAGATGGAAAAATTATCAATATATTACACTACCAAGAAGAGAGGGAGAGCTAAAGAAAGACCCAATATGTATTAGTCATTATTACTACTCCTTTTCAAATGTGGCCATGTGACTTATTTAGGCAATGAATTTCCATAGACGTCATTAATCTCTAATATACCAGCACCAAACACCCTATGACTCATGACTGTTTTTTACTACACAAATTTTGTTAAAGATATTACTTACTTGAGGTCAATAGATGGCATAGCAGCACACGTGTTCAGCATGAGGTTAAAGCCACCAGGTTTGGGACTTGAACCGTGGTCAACTATGTGGGAGCCCAGGGGTGTAGCCATTACACCATCTGCTGATCCCCACAGTGGGTTTTGAAAGCCTCTTAGGGCCACAATTTGAACCATGGTCAGCCATGTGGAATTGATTTCCTTAATCTACTAGGCTACAGGGCTAGCCCTTAATTTTAGTTTTTGTTTTGAAACATATAATAAAATATTAATATAAATGAAAAATTTGTATCCCCTTATAACCAAGCACTAACCATAAAGGAAAAAAATTAATAAGTAGGACTATATTAAAACTAAGAACCTTAGTTCATTAAAAGATACTCATTAAGGAAGTGAAAAGGCAAGTCATAAAATGGTAGAAGGTATTTCTAAAATATATATCCAAAGGCTCTTACTTGGAATATGTTTAAAAAAAAAAAAAAAGTCCTATTAAAAAAATCAATAATGGGCCAGCAGGTGGCACAGAGGTTAAGTCAGTTGGATCCATTATGGTTAACTACGCAGTTCAAGTCCTGGACTTGGTAGCTTGAAAACTAAACTGGGCACAAGTGCATGCATGCCCAAAATTCCAACAGGAAAATAGAGAAGGTAGTGCAATGTGGCTATCTCCTCTGGGGAATGATTTCTCACTTTCCCTCCCTCTCTCTCTTTCTCTCTGTCTCTCTCTGGCAAGTACACACAACTTATAGCAGAAACTTAAAAATAAAAAATAAAAAAAAATAATATAAGAAAAGCAAGGAGGTATCAGGTGGTGTGGTGGTTAAGGCACTGAACTCCCAGCCTGGTGACAGTTTGAGTCCCAGATTCAGTATCTTGCTTTCTCAATTTCCCTCTCACTCTCTTTCTGTTCAATTAAAATAACAGTGATGACTATAATGAATAAAATACAATAATTATTGAAAAAAAGGAATAAGAAAACCAAGACAACTCAATTTTAACACTAGTAACATTTGAACACACCATTCATAAAGATGACATCTAAATAGCCAATTATCATAAGAAAAAGTAGTCATCATTTATCGTCAGGGAAACATATATAAAAACCGAAATGAAATATCACTACACACTACCAAAAAGGCTAAAATAGAATAGTAATAGTAATATCACGTATTTAAAGAAAACCTACTACAGTCTCACCCTGTTGGTGACAGTATAAACTGGTATGTATTTTATAAAAACTACTTAATGGTATCTATGAAAGCTAAACACACACATATGATATAACCCAGCAATTTTACTCCTAGGCATACTTCTAACTGAACTGCATACACAGGCCCATCAACAGAAATGAATAGTGGGCGGGCCCCTTGGACTAGTAGTTAAGAGAGCTAGCTCTAAAATGGCCAACCACACAGTTCTAATCCCAGCACCAACAGCTTGAAAAACATACCAGGCATGTGTGTGTGCCCAAAATCCCAACAGGATAGAGGAGAAGAAATTGTGACATGACTATGCCTCATTGGCCCCATTCTTCCTCTCCCTGACTCTCTGTGCACCAAATTTTCTGGTTTTTCTTGTTTGTTTGTTTCAGTTTTGCTATAGGACAAGTGTGTGTACATGCCCAGAATCCTGAGATGAGAATGGAGAAGAAGGAATTGTAGCCATCCCTCCCTCCCACCCCTGGGTGATTTCTTTCCCTTTCACTCTCTCTCTCTCTCTCTCTCTCTGGTAAGCACACACGCCCTATGACAAAAACCTTACCAAAAAAAAAAAAAAAGAAACGATTTGATGTTCTTAATCTATTGATTATGGATCTAATCCATGATAGCACTCTAAAAACCTTATGAAAAGAATTAAATCTGCATATTTTAGATCTTCATGTAATTTATGAGGTTAGCTATTGAATGTGTAGTTCCTATATTGTTTATTAGCCACTAGTGTTGCCAGCTATCTGATTTTTAAAAAAATAATGGTTTAATTTTAATCATTCATTCATTCATTT